GCCTGTAATCTGCCATGGGCCCCCGTACCGCCTGGTCACGCTGCTGCTGGGTCCACAGTGTGACATGGGTCCCTGTACCGCCTCCCATTGCTCCCACTCTGCCATGTGCCACTTTCAGGTCTCCTCACACTCCTGCTGGTTTCCATTTTGTCATAGGTTGCTGGCAGATTACAGGCCTCCCATAGGTGCTGCCAGGCCCCAAATCTACCATGGGCCCCCGTACCGCCTCGTCACGCTGCTGCTGGGTCCACAGTGTGACATGGGTCCCTGTACCGCCTCCCATTGCTCCCACTCTGCCATGTGCCACTTTGAGGTCTCCTCACACTCCTGCTGGTTTCCATTTTGTCATAGGTTGCTGTATGGCCTCACATTGCTGCTGCCTCCACCGCCACACTGTGGCTCCAAACTCTGGTTTTGGCCCCGTGACTGGCCAAATGAGTGAAGTGTGCGGTGATTCTAAGATCGACGGCACTCATCTGCATGTCATACTGACTGACAGTATTATTTCTCTTCCCCAGCAGACTCCAAGGGCATTTAAATTAAAGGTACAGTGTTCTGCACTAATATTAAGTCTCTCTGAAGCCTAAAAACACCCTGAAGCCTAAAAAAAAACACCCTTTTTTAAGTTAAATTCACAGCGAATATATTCGACTCGAATCGAATATTGTCCACGAATTCGCCGAATCAGTCGAATCGAATTTTTGAATACATCGCTCATCTCTAATAATAACCTTGGCCAATGTGACAAATACTCACATCTACAGTTTCCCCCTGGTCTGTGTAATTATCTATTTTTAAGCAGTCTGCAATTTATTTTTGAGGCCCATGTGCTGTTTTCTTATGCAATACTCTCCACCTTCAAGAAAAACAGAACAGCCCTACTTCTGGGTTTCAGGAGGTCTGCATTGGCATGTACTCTGTAGCTCTCTAAAACTGACTATAGAATAAATCTGATTGTACAATCCCTGTACAAAAATTTACAAACAGCTATGTAGTGGGGAAGAGCTACCAAAACAATTCTTTAAATTTATATAAAATTTATCAAGTCCTTGTAATACATAGTTGTCTAAATGAGATTGTATGAGGGGATTGCAAAGTGTCTGGCCATCTTACTAGTGGTTGATCATCAACCATTCTCAGACTGCTGTACAATATATCTCAAGGGACAATATTAGAAACACAGATATAACTTACAATAGATATTTTCAACTACCGTCTTTGCATACATCAAAAGGTATATATGAAAAAATGTATATAGGCATGTTTCTTAAACTTTAACTTCATTCTTACTGAAATTTCAGTTAAAAATTCTGGATGTCAGATGTTTTATAGAGATCCAAAGCAAATAATTGTAAAGCATTAAAGTGTTTAGGTAATAAAGGGTTACCAAATGTATTCATCTGCAAAAATACATTTAGGTGACTTTCCACTGCTGCTTCGGACACGTCTTGGGAATGAAATGCATTTGCACATACTTCTAGGCTTCCCCACATTTAGTATCAGATGTGGAGCCAAAATCAAATTGAAATCACATTTATAGCTTATTTTTAAAGCAAGGCTGGTGCTGAGCTAAAGCCAAAATAAAAGTTTAAACTCATAGTTCAGAATAGTCATGGTGTATTATTAAAATTGAGGGTTACGCTAAATGAGGTCATGAAGTAAAGTGATCCATGCAAAAAAATAAATAAATTGTCAAAAGATATCTTTCTTTTTGTCACTTGCTTCATCTATCTGACCGGCTACACACTAGTAGAATTTAGTTAAAAAAATTTCATTTTAGAAATGTTCAATGGTCTAAACATTAATGGGGTCAAATCAACATTTGTTTTCAACCACAGTGATAAGAAAATTCAAAGGAGCAGAATGGAAACTTTTTCTCAAACAAACAAATTTCTAAATTAACTAGTTGCCGACCGCAGATAGCCGAATGACGGCTGCACTGCGGCCGGCCAGTTCTGAGTGGACGTCATATGACGTCCTCCCAGAACGCGCTCTCTCCTGCGCGCCCCAGGGGGCGCGCGCACCCGGCGATCTCCGTGATTGCTGTGTCCTACGGACACAGCTGATCACGTGATGTGGTAAAAGGCCAATCACAGCGGCCTTTTACCACGTGATCAGCGGTGTCCAATGACACGCTGATCAGAGGGAAATGCAAGTGCCGGTTCTCGGCTGCACTTTCCTCACGTTGTCAGATCGTGAGGAAAGTACTGCCGAGAACCGGCAGTTGTCAGAGCAGGGATCGGCACCGATCATCAGGACACTGATGATCAGTGCCCTGATGATCGGTGCCCAGCAGTGCCACCCGCAAGTTCCGCCCACCTGTGCCCAGCAGTGCGCCCACTAGCTCCGCCCACCTGTGCCCAGCAGATCACCCACCTGTGCCCAGCAGTGCACCCACCTGTGCCACTCTGCAGTGTCACACACCTGTGCCCAGAAGTGCCACCTACCTGTGCCCAGCAGTGCCACCCACCTGTGCCCACCCACCTGTGCCCACCCAGTGCCACCCACCTGTGCCCACCCACCAGTGCTGCCCACCAGTGCCACCCACCAGTGCAGCCCAGCAGTGCTGCCAGTCAGTGCCACCAGTCAGTGCCCAGGGGTTGTGCCAGTCAGTGCCGCCAGTCAGTGCCCAGCAGTGATGCCAGTCAGTGCCGTCTATCAGTACCCATCATCAGTGTCACCTATCAGTGCCGCCTATCAGTGCTGCATATTAGTGCCGCCTATCCATGACACCTCATTAGTGCTGTCTATCAGTGCCGCCTATCCGTGCAACCTCATTAGTACTGCCTATCAGTGCCCTTTAGTGCTGCCTATCAGTGCCCATAAGTGCCGTCTATCAGTGCCCATCAGTGCTGCCTCATCAACGCACATCAGTGAAGGAGAAAAAATACCTGTTTGAAAAATTTTATAATAGAAACAAAGAAACTTTTTTTTTTTTTTCAAATTTTTTGCACTTTTTTTTATTTATAGCGCAAAAAGTAAAGTGCCCAGTGGCGATTAAATACCACCAAAAGAAAGCTCTATTTGTGAGAAAAAAATGATCAAAATTTCATATGGGTACAATGTTGCATGACTGCGCAATTGTCAATCAAAGTGCGGCAGCGCTGAAAGATGAAAATTGGCCTGGTAAATAAGGGGGTATAAGTGCCCGGTAGGCAAGTGGTTAAAAAATAATTTTTGAAGTACTTTCGAACAACATTTGTATATCTGTCGAATGTACTGAGAATTTTTATGCATATTTTTATAAGGATATTCTATGAATGTTTCTTCGAAAATCTACTAGTGTATAGCCAGTTTTTGCAAATCGTTTTCATTTGTGAATGGGAAATTAATGATATCACGTGCTCCTATCATTAAAATGTATGGAAGGAGGAGGAGCAATATCCACTGTCCACAGTGCTGATCCTTTTATAGAGGTACCAGTGTAATTTAGCAGAGATATCAACAGAATGGAGCCAGATCACCAAAAAGAAACCCAGACAGGAGCTTAGGATGCAGTGGGTGTCTATGGGGTCTGGCTACATCCTATATTGTGCAGGAATCTAGAGAAATAGTGTAATTGGTCAAATTTGTGTACCTGCCTGTCACTTCATAAGGGACAATGCACTTGCAGGCAGTTGGTGTTTGTTTGAGCCATACCTGGACAGACAATGCAAATGTGGTGGTTTCTCTGTGCCTAATGCAGTCATTATCAATGTCATTCAAAGGGATGGGAAGGTCAAAGCTGCTACTTTGCCTGGTAACTTATTCCACCTTAATATTTCTCTGCATAAGACCACTCACATGGGTTGGAATTATTATTGCTGAAGGTCTGTTTCAAATGTGCTGGTACCAGGGGCGGACTGACAACTCATGGGGCCCCCGGGCAATAGGGGATCATGGGGCCCCTGTGTCCTTGCCCAAACTCAAAAAAGCCTATGAAAAAGGTACCAGGGGCATCTCATGGGGGCCCCCTACTGACCGCGGGCCCTCGGGCAGTGCCCCGAGTTTCCAAATGGTCAGTCCGCCCCTGGCTGGTACACTACTATATTGACATATCATAGGAAAGCAGTAATCACATCACTTGACTAGTGCAATAACAGGACTGAACCACAACAATAACATCTCTCCAAGTGCAAATAAGGACAAAAAAGCCAGCATCCAAATTAGATACTTACTTTAACCACTTGCACTCCTGAGGATTTACCCCCCTTAATGACCAGGCCTTTTTTTGCTGTTTGGCGTTGCACTAATTCAACTGATAATTGCGCAGTCATGCAATGCTGTACCCAAAGGAAATTTACATCCTTTTTTTCACACAAATAGAGCTTTCTTCTGGTGGTATTTTATCACCTGTGCGCTTTTTATTTTTTGCACTATAAACAAAAAAAGCACAAAATGTTTTTTAAAAAAACAATATTTTCTACTTTCAGCTATAAAAAATATATCGTAAACTCAAAGTTAATCATAAATTTAAGCCAAAATGTATTCTGCTACATGTTTTTGGTAAAAAAAAATCCCAATAAGTGTATATTGATTGCTTTGTGTGAAAGTTATAGCGTCTACAAACTATGGTATAGATACTGTAATTTATGCCATTTTTTGCTATACAGCGCTGCACTAGTTTAACTGACAATTCCGCGGTCATGCAATGCTGTACATAAATGAAATTTACGTCCTTTTTTTCACACAAATAGAGCTTTCTTTTGGTGGTATTTGATCAACTGTGCGCTTTTTATTTTTTGTGCTATAAACAAAAAAAACACAAAAATTTTGAAAAACTTTTGAAAAAAACGGTATATTTTACTTTTGGCTATAAAAAATATATAGTAAACTCAAAGTTAGTCATAAATTTTGGCCAAAATGTATTCTGCTATATGTCTTTGGTAAAAAAAATCCCAATAAGTGTATATTAATTGCTTTGTGTGAAAGTTATAGTGTCTACAAACTATGTTATAGATACTGCAATTTATGCCATTTTTTGCTATACAGCTCTGCATTAGTTTAACTGACAATTGTGTGATCATGCAATGCTGTACCTAAATGAAATTTATGTCCTTATTTTCACACAAATAGATTTTTCTTTTGGTGGTATTTGATCACCTGTGCGCTTTATATTTTTTGCGCTATAAACAAAAAAACCACGAAAATTTTGAAATAAACCCCGATATTTTCTACTTTTGGCTATAAAAAATATATCGTAAACTCAAAGTTAGTTATAAATTTAAGCCAAAATGTATTCTGCTACATGTTTTTGGTAAAAAAAAATCCCAATAAGTGTATATTAATTGCTTTGTGTGAAAGTTATAGCGTCTACAAACTATGGTATAGATCAGCAATGGGCAAACTACGGCCCACGGGCCTGATACGGCCCGGCGGACCTTTTAATCCGGCCCGCGGAGCTAGGCTCCCGCTAGGCTCCTCTCACAGTCTGCCCTGAAGACCGGTGTAGCATGAAAATCTGTCTCCTATGAGGATCTGTCCCCCTCGACGTATCTGCGCATGTGCCGGAGATCGCCGATCGGCTGCTAATGCCTGAAACTGGCACATGCGCAGATACGTCGAGGGGGGCAGATCCTCATAGGAGACAGATTGTCATGCTACACCGGAACGGCGCGGGAACACGGCGAGAGGAATGTGCGGAGCAAAGGTAAGTGAATTGACACAGGGGGGACTTGGGGACTTAATATGGGGGATGAAGTAATATGGGGGATGAATTAATATGGGGAATGAATTACTATAGGGGGGATGAATTACTATGGGGGATGAATTACTATGGGGGATGAATTACTGTATGGGGGATGAATTACTATGGGGGATGAATTACTATATGGAGGATGAATTACTATATGGGGGATGAATTACTATGGGGGATGAATTACTATGGGGGATGAATTACTATATGGGGGATGAATTACTATGGGGGATGAATTACTATATGGGGGATGAATTACTATATGGGGGATGAATTACTATGGGGGATGAATTACTATATGGGGGATGAATTACTATGGGGGATGAATTACTATATGGGGGATGAATTACTATGGGGGATGAACTACTATGGGGGATGAATTACTATATGGGGGATGAATTACTATATGGGGGATGAATTACTATGGGGGATGAATTACTATATGGGAGATGAATTACTATGGGGGATGAATTACTATATGGGGGATGAATTACTATGGGGGATGAATTACTATGGGGGATGAATTACTATATGGGGGATGAATTACTATGCTTACTATGGGGGAATATTACTATACTTACTATGGATGACACATACACATCATTCATCTACTCTTGGTCCGGCCCCCGGGTCCAATATATGAACCCATTGCGGCCCTCAAGTCAAAAAGTTTGCCCACCCCTGGTATAGATACTGCAATTTATGCCATTTTTTGCTATACAGCACTGCATTAGCTTAACTGGCAATTCCGCGGTCATGCAATGCTGTACATAAATGAAATGTACGTCCTTTTTTTCACACAAATAGAGCTTTCTTTTGGTGGTATTTGATCAACTGTGCGCTTTTTATTTTTTGTGCTATAAACAAAAAAAAAAACACAAAAATTTTGAAAAACTTTTGAAAAAAATGGTATATTTTACTTTTGGCTATAAAAAATAGTATATAAACAAAAAAACCATGAAAATTTTGAAAAAAACCCCGATATTTTCTACTTTCGGCTATAAAAAATATATCGTAAACTCAAAGTTAGTCATAAATTTAAGCCAAAATGTATTCTGCTACATGTTTTTGGTAAAAAAATCCCAATAAGTGTCTATTAATTGCTTTGTGTGAAAGTTATAGTGTCTACAAACTATGGTATAGATACTGCAATTTATGCCATTTTTTGCTATACAGCACTGCATTAGCTTAATTGACAATTGTGCGGTCATGCAATGCTGTACATAAATGAAATTTATGTCCTTATTTTCACACAAATAGAGCTTTCTTTTGGTGGTATTTGATCACCTGTGCGCTTTTTACAGAGATCAGGCCTGATTCTGTGAACACTGCGGTTTTGTGTGTAATGTATCAAGTGACAGTTATCTACTGACACTGCACTTGCTGGGGAAGAAGGGGGGGGGGGGGCGTAGGAGCTAAACGCAGGTGCTGGCAGGTGTCGGGGTTGATCCCACTAATGCTGCATTTTTGGGGATACTATAGTAATGTGAACGCTGGTATAGTGCTGATCTGATCAAAGATACTGATCCAATCAGACACTATACTAGCAATGGAGGTTTAGCATGCAAGTGAGCGTGTTCCTGGCAATCAAGTGGTCAAATGTGATTACTTGTATACTAGCGGCAATCTGACGCTATCTGGGAGGGGCGCTAACTGACGCTAACACTATTGGAAGTCACCAGTGACACTAATAC